AATTCGCTTTGTCGGCGTCGTTCGTTCGCGCTTATGATACGCACGTGCGCATAATGAAAATTTTAAAAGTGCATTTTATCAAATACTCAGTGATTTCATAAATAAATTGCAATCAATAATTTGCATACATTGATATGCATTGCTCGATAAAGTGAATTTAGCGCTGCAATCTCGAATGCAATGCAAGAATTTCATTCGCTGTAATTTAATTTAGCAAATACTATGGCATTTAGCATGGTCGCAATTTATTCGCCAACACTACTTCTCACGGGCTTACATCTCAAGGGGAGCGTCTCGATATGTAAAGCGACGTGTTTTCGCGCGAAATTTCGCAACATTTGCACGACCGTAGTCAGTGTCCCGCGAAATTATTGGCGTATCGGATAGGAAGGGAGCAACGTCCCGAGAATTTCCCGATTTTGTCCATAAATTTTTACGGACATTGTCGCGCGACGCTTCCTTGCTCTTTGCCACCTCAAGAATTCCTGTCGACAGCCCCATGTATCCTACCGGTGGTAAATAATCACTGATAACACGGAGGAGCCATAATTGTATGAGCCCCGTCAGCGCGGTACGCGTCTCAGCCCAAAAACCCGACGTTTTGCTCTGACTAACGGCCTCTTGGCCAAGGCGTTAAAATAAAAGCAGCAAGGAGACAAACATCAAGTGTACATGCAAGTGAGATATTACCATTTCGGTGCGAGGATAAAGGGAATTCACGTAGAGGGCATTTCTCCACCAGAATTGCTCGCACGTGCTGTGATCGATGATCTGAGGCGAGAAGACAGTCACAGACATGGCGTACTTCATGGCGATCACGTTGATCCCGAGGACGAACAGGTAGGAGGGCGTGAGCCTTTAAACGTGCAAAATACGTTTTTCAACGCTATATACATGAGTTCATTCACCGTACGTACGATATCTCCCGGGTTCGATCTTTCCTTCTCTGTCTCCGGGCGCTCCTCGCGAGCAGTTTACGCCCGCGTGCGAGCGCGCACGTACGGCCCGCCACAACTTACCGAACGAATCTGTAGAGGATCATGATAACGAACTTGCTCGTGCTCGCCTTGACGAAGTTGTCCTTATCGGCCGGCGAACTTCCCATCGACCGATAGAACAGGATAGTCACCAGTAAACCACTGCAACCGAGCGCGGAAAATTATTTAAAACGCTTGGAAAGGCTGCGGCTCCTCGCCTCTGTTCCTTAACCAGTGCCTTTACCAGTCCATTTGAGTCTCGGGAGGGAGAGTGGGAGGGAGGTAGTACGAACTTCCCGCAACTTCCACATTCAATTATCAACCAAATATAGCCACTTTTATTAATCAAGGCCTCTGCCCATCTTAATCAACATCTTTGTGAGCTCAATTTACTGCGCCGATTATTATGTTCGCAGATCTTAGTATTAGACTCGAATTAAAATCGATCTACTTCGTTTTCCCGCTCAAAGGTTTTCTTATCAGCCCTGCATCCAAGTATATAACGAAAGTGCTTGCGCCCAGCATTAATCCGACACATCGAACTACGAGAGCCAGAGTTTTGGAGAGATGACGACGACATGTCGAATGTAGGCGAGACAATTAATAAAAAACATTTCATTATAATAATACTACTACGATATTCAATTCGAATTATATTCTATGCATTTTTCAATTGGCCCATTAGCCGAGTAATTAAACTGCCGTAATTCCCAATAATAATTACGTGATGTTATGTATTAGGATAACTGATTTGTTGAACACCGCTATAAATAAATAATTGTATCGAATAAAGTCTTCTAATGGAAAAGGCCGAAATTACGTTTTTCATTGGCTCGTTTCTTTCTACATTTATATATTTTATCTTCACATTACGAACATTTATCTCTTCTTTTCAATTTCAATGCGAGACCAATCATTATCCTGCACGCACGCGCGTTCGTACGCACAGAATCGCGTGCGCGCCATAAACACACCCACAAGCACGCACATAAATGCAGGGCTGGAACGCACGCACACAATAACTCGGGTGTTCTTCTTTTTTTAACCATTGTTAATATGATATTGAAAAGATGAGGAAAATTTTTGTAAAATCCATGGAAATACGTAATAATACCGACTGCTTCTTTAAAGTATGAAAATTTAAAGATTCGTAGTAAATAGCTCGATGTGACTGAGAAATTATGTGTTCAAGATAAGAAATTTTAAATTAAAATTTTCGCTATAATTATTCCATCAATTTACTTTCCGTCGTGCAGAAGAGCAGGTATGCTGAAATACATTTTAAAAAGAATTTTGTATAAAAAAAAAAAAACATGCGTATAAAGTGTACGCGCTTTATGTAAATTTACATCGTGAATCTTAGAATAAAAAGTGGCTATATTATATTAAGAATACGAAATTTAATCATTTAATCATATCTAATAATTAATTATATTGATAAACTTATAAAATTCTCAATAACCCATGTACTTATTAACTGTAGCGTGTGATTCGCAGATTTAACGACGAACGATGAGATTACACGAAATTCATGTTTTTCTCAAAAATACCTTTTCCTCTGATAAATATTTTTTAGTCTACACTCTCTTTGGTATTATATTTCTAGGCAAAATTATAAATATAATCGATTTGAAGAAAAAAAAAAAAGAAAAGAAAACACGTTTTTGAGATCTTAATGGCTATACCGTCAAGTTGAATTCCATTCATATTCTATTTCCCATAAATTGCAGCATGGAATTCCATAAGAATTTTCGCCTTTATCCAAATAAGTTTCGTGTGTATTAATTATAGAAAACGTGACTACAGCACATATTTTATTTATTTTATATTTAAATGCCATGAATGCTCATAAATGTATTTTCATGCATTTATAAAAAATGAAAATGTTTATTTATTATATCTTTTGAATATAATTTCTGAATATTCAAGCTAAAGTACGTTGCATAAAATATATATTTCACAATTCATTCGTTTATTATAGATCTTAAGACAGATTGGTTGTTTTCCTTCTTTTTATTGTTTTTTTTTGTTTTTTTTTTGTTTTTTTGTTTTTTTTTTTTGTTTCTTTTATTAGTATTAAAATTCTATTTTAATGCTCAACTAGTTTAAACTTAATATTTCAAGTATGATCATATTACATGGACACGTCACATTAAAAATTTGTCAATTAAACATTTACATATACGGACTAAAGTTCTTTAGAAATGGTAAAATAGGAATGACTGAAAACATTGACGCAGACTTTCAATTTTGTTTACGTCAAGTAAAAGTGCTTATCAATAATACACAAACGCTCCGAGTCCGCACATATTAACGATCTCGAAAGTTCATGACAAATATTTAGTTTTTCCGCACATTTACATTTTTCAACGCACACTACCTGTGACGTGTACTTATATAGACAAGTTGCGTACAGACCAAGTAGCACTGGGAAAAGAAAAGCAAAAAATGGCTTAAATAAATAGTTTAGAAACGTGATAATGGCACAATAATTAGAAATCTAAAGAGCTGAAAGCAGAGCAAGAGGCTTGGATGCTCGGCTCGGAGAGCATGGATTCGAGGCCAATTGCGTAATAATAATACCGTACCTGATGAAGAAAAACGTGTCGACGGAGAACGTGGCGTTGCTGATCGTCTGGAACATGAAGTTCCTCTCGGTGACAGTGCGCAAAATCTTGTTCTCTATAGATCGCATGCGGGCAAAAGAGAAAGGCGTCGTCAATGGCGAGTTATCAGTGAAAGTTCGTGCGCGCATGTGCCGATCGCCGGGGGTCAGCGTGAATTAAAGGACGCGAATTTCCGCGGCTGAGCCGGAGAGACGGTACAAAAGGTCGAGACACGCGCTGGAATGCGGATCATTTTTGCCGCGCTGCGGTCGCCGCGCACTAAAATTAAAATCCAATGTTACATTGCCGCGGCCGTAAAGCTGATGACGCTCTCGATCGTAAACGGGTGTTGTGCACCTGTGGTGCGGACCTTAAGTTGTTGCAGGCCCAGCTCGGCCCCCTTTTATTTCGCGGGCCCCGTAATGTCCGCGGCGCTAGATCACTGCTACATGCTTCTTTATTATTATTTTTTATTCATATTCATTTATTTATTTATTTAATTATTTTTGTCGTTGTCGTCGTCGTCGTCGTCGTCGTCGTCGTCGTTGTTGTTGTTGTTGTTGTTGAGATGGCGCTTATAGAAGTTGCCAACCGATTAAAGGCGCGTCAATCCCAAGTCCCGAGGGACTATCGGCATTGTTTATGAGCTGCGCAGTCGACATCGCGAAAGCTTACTTACTTACTTACTTACTTACTTACTTACTTATTTGAGAGCTGCTTGACGATTTTCCTTCGAAGAACCGAGTAAAAGTTCCGTAAGCGTGGATTTAATGCGCGAAAGCCGAGCGTGTTGCACGTAAATACAAAATATGTAAATGTACTGGTGGAGTATTTATGTAGTGCCAAATGGCGCTTTAATCCATCCCGACTAATTGTTTATGACATTGTAGGATTTCATTTTTGCTGATTGATATATTTTGCAACTAGCTCCGTGCTGCTGTTTACTTCGATAATTTGATAAATGAATTTAGAATTTAACGCGAAATTTAAATACAACGGGTGGTTTACAGGGCGGGAGGGGGGGGGGGAAATAAATCATACGCACGTTAAATGTAATCGCGCTAGCAAATAGCAAGAACGTACCTTTAATCTAATTTTACATTTATTGTTATTTTAGTTTCGTTTATCAAAGAATCCTTGTTAGTAATTGTTGGGCGTAGTCTAAAGAAGCGAAATTACTCGTAAATTAATGATACCATACAAAATAAATAATTTTTTAATGGGCTTTAAGAGTGCGTCTAATGTATTCGTGAAACTTTTATTATTAAACAAATTTCGACAAACATTGATTATCATAATAAATGTTATTTATTTAATGATCTAACTGCAATTATTTATTGTAATTTTCAATTTCATGCACGAACGACTAACGAACAAGTGACGAATATTTAACGCGTTAACGTAATGATACAGATATTTCAATTGAAAATATATTTATCGAGCATAAGAGGGCCCATAAAATATATAATATATCAATACTTTAATATGTTCCGAAATAAATTGCTCAGCGAACCCATGTAAATGAATTTTTCAATGACCAGAAAATATGTGTCATGAGCAACTGTGCCAGTCTCGTAACATTTTAAGTCCGTCCTGTTTAAAAAATGTAGTTACACTATAATATTTTAAAAATTATAATTATCGGAAAATGTAAATTTTCGTGGTTATTTATGGGTAGAGAGTTGCAAACATAATTTTAAAAACTGCTAAACTAGCCATTCCGAACATCACAGACGACCTATATAAATACGTTTATAATGATAAAAAAAAAACAATTTTTTTTAATAAAAAGGAACAATAACTATGACAAAATAATCAAAAAAAAAAAAAAAAAAAAGTAGATTTACACGACAATTATTGATTCCTGGACAGTCAAATTCATTGATCAATTGATAAAATTAATTTCACGAATGCGCTTTTATTAATTTTATACTCGGGAGTGTTAGGAGACCGCGAGGGTTTACGATACTAACACACATACTACCTACGCAGTGCCTGAAATTAATAATTAAAAATAATATCGCTAGCAAAGTATTTTAATTTAAGATACTCGATCGTTGAAATATTAAGTGACTTTTAGTTAAGCCACGCGAAGTAAAGCCACGCAAAGTTATCATCGGCTACAAAATGAAATTCAACAGTGCAAACAAGATTAAAGTTAGTGATACGGAGTGTCTAATTGTCGGCATTAGTGCGCGCATAAATATTTATAAAATCAAAGTAAACATAGGATAAAAATGTTGAGTTTACGACCGGCCGCAGTTGATTATAGCCGACGAGAAAGTTGACCGCAAAGCCAGTTTCCATGAAATTAATAATTCACCGACTCTCACAAATCAGCTGGACGACCGGCAACGCGAGAGAATCTCTCGAGCAGAGCGTGAAAGGTACCTGCAATGGAGAAGACCTGGAGGTAAGTGTGAACCATGACTACCCAGCCGAGCGACAGGACCCTGAGTCCATGCAGGCACGTGAGGCTGGTCTTGGTCGCGGGCTCGGTGCTTATGATCTTGCTGCCGTTGGTGATGGGGCTGAAGGCGAGGAGGCAGCTCAGCAGGATCCCTAGAGAGGCAAACGGAGTAGTTGGTTGGTAAGCCGGTCACGGGGATGAGAAGTGAAAAAAGAAAGCTGGACGAAGTTTATAGACTGTAGTTTCACCGACCTTTTTCCATCGTGGGCGCATCAGCCTTGTCAGTCTCGGTGGAGAGGCACTTGGAGCCCTTGGCCTTCTCGATGAGTTCCTTGCTGTTGTCTTGGGCGGGCGAGCCGTCGCAGCCGATGCGCAGCTCCTCGACCACGAGATTCTTGTCCGCGTACTCGGCCAGACGCTCATTATTGTTGGAGGCGCTGAGGGACTCGACGTCGCGCCGCGGTTTCGAGCCGGTGATGCCTCCCCGTTGCTCGTAGATCGTCGCGCAGACCATGAGGAGGAGCGTTGCGCCGCTTATGCCGCTGAGGAACAAGGGTAGCGATCAGCATGAGACCTCGGACATTGGGAATAGTGATTGGATGAAACGTAGGAGTGACGGTTAAAATCGGATTTCCGCTGGAACGTGAGGTTAAGACGGGAGAACGCAACCAGGACTACCATCATCATCATCATCGTCGTCGTCATCGTCATCGTCATCATCATCATCGTTATCATGATCATCATCATCATTATCATCATCATCATCATCATAATGAGGAGTAGCAGCAACAGCAAGATCATCATCATCATCATCATCATCATCATAATGAGGAGTAGCAGCAACAGCAACAGCAGCAGCTGCAGCAACAGCAGCATCAACGTCCTTACCCCGTGCGCCCGGCCACGTTGCTAGACCGGAATAGTTAATGCTACGCGATAAAATGCTCGAGGTAGTTTCCTTTCCTCGCCGACTACTTCCTGCTTCAGTTACCTCGCTCTACTCGCCTATCTACTGACTGCTTCCTCAACTTTATGCAACTCTGCTTATTTTCTTAGGGATCTCATTACCTATAGGGAATGCGAGGCTTAACTTTGTTATTTACAGTAATCGGAGGGATATTCTTTTTCTAAAACCGGGATTCTCTCGCCTCGATAATGATGCCGAGAAATTTCAGTTATGAGAAATAATAGTACCTGGAATAGGATTATTGCTCTCTGAAACTAAAGTTCTTTACTCACAAATAGAATTTAACTTCTCCGATAATAGACGCAAAATGCTCATTTGCAATTGATAACTCTGGCTTCTCACTGCCAATATGTATACTTCGACAAATAAATAATCTTTTATACTTAATAATTGAATACGTAAGCCTGATTCTTCGTAAAAATTTTAAAATTATAATATAATACTAATAGTCGCAGGATTATTTGATTCTCCAATATTACGTCGTTTTTACGCAAATCAACGCTCGAGTCTATAATTTTTCATAAATTCTGTAGAAACATTACGTCGCTATTTGTTTTTATTTACTATCGTTTAATGCATTTACCTAAATTTACACTCATTCGCCATTAAATTCTACGTATATATTTTAAATAAGAATTTACGGTATTTTAAAAACATTTCTCAGACAAAAATTTGACATTCTTTTCACCCGTGTAAGTTATTGTATTATACTACCGTCATCAATAATGATGGATACATGGACATACATGTAGTCACTCGCGCGCACGCGCGCACATACGTATTTACATAGATAGATAGATAGATAGATAGATAGATAGATAGATAGATAGATAGATAGATAGATAGATAGATAGATAGATAGATAGATAGATAGATAGATAGATAGATAGATAGATAGATAGATAGATAGATAGATAGATAGATAGATAGATAGATAGATAGATAGATAGATAGATAGATAGATAGATAGATAGATAGATAGATAGATAGATAGATAGATAGATAGATAGATAGATAGATAGATAGATAGATAGATAGATAGATAGATAGATAGATAGATAGATAGATAGATAGATAGATAGATAGATAGATGGCAGGATTACTTAGTCGAAGAACAGCAGATACAAGCTCAGTGTATTATTTTACATTTGCCGTCTCCATGAGTTTTGGATTCTTTATCTTCCACAATGTTATTCCAATTAAATATGTTTATTAGTTGAAATTTACATTGCGTATTTTTCAAGCGCTAGTAAAAGCATTCTTGATAATAAAATTAGAATTGTACTTGTAGGTATCGAAATAAAGGAAAATAATTACAAATGAACGTCATTGATTATATTTTTCATCCGAGTTGCATTATCTTACGTTACGTTTATGTAAAGAGAAAGCATAATTTACAAAGCAGGAATTTTAAATACTATTTAACAAATACCATTGATTTAATAATTGTTCCAAACCTATCGAAAGTGCCAGAACGTTGCTCAATTCATGTTCAATATATTAATCATGAAGCATTGAGCAAAGGTATTGGGATAATCAAGCTAATTCTTCAAAAATTTATCTGTAAGTATATTGGAATAAATGTGTCTCCATCTAGCGAATTGAATATATAATAAAATTCGATTGCGATTGCATTTACAAATCTTCATTTGTAATCAGGACCGAAGAAGTTGTAAATGGCACTAACACATAAGGCTCGCGCATATCGCCAATTGAATTGGTACATCGAAATACACCAGGCGATACCACCATTCGCTTTCAATTACTTCGCTTCTATTTTAAAACTTCACAACGGCCACAACAAGTGATAACGACACTCGTGTCGCGACTCTCGACTCGACGAAAAATGAGCCTCGCATCTCGGACAGCCAGTCAGGTCATTCGGAAAAGATTGAAATTACCAGCTCACACTCGACGATCGCATTTAGCTGCGACCAAAGTCGACTCAATATCCCGAGCCGCCTTCCATCGATTCAATTCACGAGTCCCATCCCCTCGCGCTCCCCTCGCCCACCCCCAGCCCCCTTGCCAACCGTCGCGCTATCGGTCGGGCATTCGGCATTATCGCAAATCCCCGACAGACGCGTGAAGCGCGACCGCGACCTCGGGGAATAAGCAACGCCCGGATGCGGATTCGGTGGCGCGCGAGATGTGCATTGCAGCCTCACGATAACAAGCGCATTTAATTATTCAGTGACGGGTCGACGGACGCGCTCGAGCGCTGCTCTTTGCCGATTAATCCTCTGGCCGATGTGTCCGAGTGCGTCCGGCTCTCTCTCTCTCTCTCTCTCTCTCTCTCTCTCTAATTAGGCGGGAAAAAATCTAGTATGTACAAGCGATGCTGGTGTTGTTTCGATTAGGAGATTGAATGGCCGTATTGGGTAGGCCCATACATCAAGGGGGCATTTTCAAATTGTAATTGCGAAACTCGCGAGCTCCCGTGGCTACGAGGTGCTGTGTCTTTGCCGGAATCGAAGCCCATGAAAGAAGAAATTACTACTGCCAGTGTCAATGGTTTGATAATTATGCCCGAATAATTATTATTTCGAGGTATACGATCGTTTAATATGATCAAACGATTATTGCGCTTAAGTGTATTAAAGCCGAGGCAAGAGGTCATGAAAATAGCTATTCTGCAAGCATTCGATCGTTTAAATTCAGCGAAACATTTGTTTCGGTGAGGCCAACTCTGTTGCGAGAAGCAAGTATTTTACAATTTTTTCGTGGCTGCTCGGCCAAGCTTTTGCAATAATTTCGTGATTAGCCCATACGGTAATTAACAATTGGAATGCCACAATTATTTATATTACAGTGTAAGCGTAATATATAATAATGCACGACCGTGTTGTAAGCAAACGTAAATAATCCTATAAATTAAACAACCTCGGCTAATAATTTGAATTTTAATTACTCAATTACTCATAAGGAAATTTATTACAAACATACGCTTTGGCAGAGTACACAAAGTTCATTAAAGACTTTTCTCTCATTAAAATCTTTCCTCTTATTGATAAGGCCTTTACTATTTATTAATATTGCTGCTTCGCTTGAATTTATTAATCAACACATGGACGAAACTCCTATAGTACGAGCCGTGAATAACTATTCTTTCAATAATACGCATCGAAGATACGTGCTCACTCAAACACTTATAAACATTATTATATCTTCAACTATTATTAGCCTGCGCGTTATTTAACGTATAAAAATCGTAACTATACGTTTGATACACCTCTTTCTTTATTGCTGAAGGTACGTTTTCAGTGCCCTAAGGGCTTATGAACGTAAATTGGTGTTGGGGGAAAAAGGAACGTGCGCGCCATACAAATGCGACCTTATGATTTCATTGAATCGCTGCAACGTCTGATGTCGTATTATCGTTTCCGGTCAATTCATTCCCTCGCAATTTTCCAGTCACACTTGATTTGTTTGGTCTTTTTTCATTTTGTAAAATGAAGAAGAAACTTTCGACCAGAAATGCGAAAATAATTTATAGTATTACTGATAGCGATAAAATTTGTCCCATCTTTCTTTATCTTCATCTCATTTAAATCATAGAATACTTGTAATCTCACGAGGGACAATAGTTTTGCGTATCTCCATGTATCTTATTGAACCTAATGCATTGCTATTAGACATTAAAGTCTAACATCCATCAATTATAAATCTAATGATTAGTTTACTAAAATATAATGTATTAGAGTTCAGTGGGTATTCGAAAGATGCGATTGTTTCTATGTTTTTAGATTTCTATAATAATAGAGTTTGAACTAACAATAATAAATTTTGTGCAGCTACGTTATGTTAAGTTTGGCGTTTAATGAGCCTTTCTTACTTACAGCTATAATTTCCGCTAGCATACTATAAAGTTAAGTACTATTTAACAATGCGTTATTACCATAAAAATCTGAGAATAACTGATAAATGGGACACAAGCTAAAATCGAAATTATTGCCAAATTCGACATTATTGTTTCGATATGTCCTAATTTCACAGACGGCAATTACTTTTCAAATTATCAAAGAAATTCTACGTTAATCAATCTATCGTAATAATTTTACGTGATAATAGATTATACATTTGGCGCACAATTACATAAAACTCATCCCCTAACGTCACTGTCGATCGTTCGAGTTTAATGTATCGATGATATCGCAGGCACGCACGCACGCACGCACGCACACAAACACGTCGATAAATTTTCAAGAGCCTTGCCGAAAAATGGCGAAGAATTATTTAACTAATGACGCGCCGTACTTTCTTTCAACTGGTCGGACACTATCAACCATAATATTTCGAACCGACAACGATGCAATTTACGTATGGTTATGATCTTTCTCTCGCTCAATAATACGAATAATTTAATAAGCAGGACATTGAAGGGATAAGATTGCAAGGATAAAGAAATACGTGGACTATAATAGATATAAGGCATGCCTGTAGTGGTTTTGTGTTGTACGGTTAAATACGCAAATCCAGCAGTTGATGTTCGAAGAAGAAAAATGGCTGAAAGCGAGACTCGAAGTAATCGCGATAAAATGAGATAAGGGGAAAGAAGGTCGTAGGATAAATCTG